GAAGTGGAAAGCAGTGACAGATTTTATTTTCTTGGGCTCCAAATTCACTGTGGATAGTGACTGCAGCCATAAAATTAAAAGACACTTGCTTCTTGGGAGGAAAGCTATGACAAACCTAGAAAGCATATTAAAAAGTAGAGACATCATTTTGCTGACAAAGGTACATATGGTGAGATCTGGACCATAAAGAAGGCTGAGCACTGAAAAATTGTTGCTTTTGAACTGTGATGCTGGAGAACACTCTTGAGAGTCCTTTGGCCTGCAAGAGCAAACCAGTCAATCCTAAGGGAAATCAATCCCGAATATTCATTGGAAGGACTGATACTGAAGCTGAAGTTCCAATAGTTTGGCTACCTGGAATGAAGAGCTGACTCATTGGGAAAGACCCTGATGCTGGGAAAGATTGAGGGCAGGAGGAGAAGGGGGTGACAGATGAGATGGTTGAATGCCATCACCAACTCAATGGATATGAGTTAGAGCAAAGTCTGGGAGATGGTGAAGGACAGGGAAGCCTGACATGCTGCAGTCCTTGGGGCAGCAAAGAATGAAATAGAACTTAGCAACTGAATGAAAACCATTAATTATGAAAATTTGACAAGTTACATACTTATCTGAGACTCAACTTCTTTATCCATAAAATAGGCATCATAATACCTATTTCAGAGCATGTTGAAAAGATTCAATTTGATAAGCGATATAAAGTCCTTACTGCATGCTTGGTATTCAGTAAAAGTACAATAACTTTTGGGTAGTAACAGCTTCCAACCTGAAAAGAAACCACTTCTTTATTCTCATACTATTTCTTCATCCTGTAATATTCACAATGATACGCTCTGGTGGGAAGAAAGTGTTTCCACAGAAAGTAAAACCTAATTCAACATTGGTGTACAGGTAGTTTATTTTGGGAAGTGATTCTAGAAAATAGGACTGAGAAGCTAGAAGTAGGGAAGAGGGACATAGAAGTATGTATAGATGTGGACAGCTGAGTTTCATGGGTCCTTTGAGAACCATGTAGAATGTCTAAGGGAAGGAAAAGGGGAACATATGGTCCGCTGCTTCTGTCTTCCATTAATTGAGTTTCTGTGGAGCCATTAAATTGTCATATAGGTTTGCAGTATGTAAGTGATGAGACTGTTGGTTCTAGCAGATGGACAACATTAGCGGCAGAGAAGAGAAAGTGAGAAAGAGCCCAGCTGAGGTGTCAGGGTTTATTTACTACAGTGCTTGTTGCTGCAGGATGTGTGGCTGATTAGACCATGTGAGGAAGGACAGAAGTGTGTGAAATGAAGATATCTCCTGCCATACCAATATACAAGAAATGTCACAGCCATCAGAAATGTCTGGCCTCCAAATGTGAATGAGGGCTTCCCAAACTGCAATGCAGCAGATGCTGCCATTCCCCATGGTGACTGCTGAGAAGCTGGGGGAATACAAGAAGCAGCCATCTGCCACTCCTTCAGGTGAACAAGGAAAGGAAAGAGGATTGGCCCCAGATAGCTGAGGTGCATTATGAAAGGAATTCATTCAGTGAGCCCAGAGGGTTGCATCTTCCCATACATAGAATGCAGCATTCCTTAACCTGATATCTGGTTTTTCTTACCTCACAATAATCTTTGCTGTTCAGACTGCCTGCTTCCTTTGTTACCAACTTGTAGATAGCCTGACTCCCCCTCCTGCCCCCTTGGAGCAGTTTTCTCATAGCTGCTGAGATGCTATCTTCCAGGCTCAGAGTCCTTAACATTCTCACCAAATAAAAGAACTCTCTACTTTAAGACTGTGACTATATTTTTAGTTGATAAGTGGCATTTCATACAGGAGTCTTCATAGCAGTCATGTGTCCTCAATGACTCTTGAGATTTGAAAGCAATTCAGTCTCAGATACTTCTGTTTCAAAGCCTACCATTTGAGCTCCATGGCTTAAGTAATTTTCTTTATGGCAAAAACAAAAGTTTGTCGTCTCGTTCTAGTAGATCTACAACTGTGAGACCCTTGATGGTGATTTCTATGCTAAGCAGCCAATCAAGAAGACACATTCTCCAGGTGAACTGAGATTCATGGTTTTTTTGTTTGTTTTATAAAATTATTTATTTATTTATTTTTGACCGTACTGGGTCTTCATCACTGCAGGGGCTTTTCTCTAGTTGTGATGTGTGGGCTTCTCATTCTGGTGGCCTCTCTTGTTGTGAAGCACAGTGTCTAGGGTGCGTGGACTTCAGTAGTTTCAGTTGCTTAGCTTCAGAGCACAGGCCCAGTAGTTGTTGTGTATGGACTTAGCCGTTCTGTGGCATGAGGGATCTTCTGGGACCAGGGATCGAACCAGTCTCCTGCATTGGCAGACAGATTCTTTACCCCTGAGCACCACGGAGGCCTGAGATTCATGTTTTGAAGTGAGTCCTTTGCCCTAAATGCTGTCAAAGAAACTGAAACAATCCACAAAGTCTATTTAGTCCCAAGTGTCGACTTAGAAACCTCAATGGAGACAATTAAATTGAGAAACTGCTTTCTATTTTTAAAATAGTTTCAAAATATTATATTCTCATCTTTGTGGATGAGTGAATACTGCTTACTTTTCTTACTATGGAACTTATAACTTATTTTGAGTTTTTTTTTTTTTTTTAACTTTAGGGGGAAAATAACACTTAGAAAGCTTGCTCCTGGAAATAATACTTGGAAAGTTCTAGGAAACTATTAGAATTTATGAACATATATGAAATAGTGATATGACCAAGGGCAAATGTATAAAGGACAAAATCCAGTTAGATGATTCCTTTAATAGTTGGTGCCTGTGTGTTTTAGTGAGCATCTCCCTTATCCAAAATAGCCCAATTATGCAAAGCCAGATAATCACAGAAACAAAAATTCTCCACCTTACTACAAATCAGTAGTTTTCATTGCATATCTATTAACCTTAAAGGTGAAAGTGGGTTCCAGACTAATGTCTTTCATGTTAGAAGCTGTATTAAATTAATTGAAAAATAAAACTGATAATAATAATAAAACAAGAGAAATGATAAACAGTAAAAGGTAAATACTTTTTAAATGTTACTCAAATAGACAATAACACCACATCTTTCAAACAACATAATTATTTGCATCATAAAAACTCTAGTTGTTGAAATTTAAAATATTGATTAAAAAGCTTCAATTGGACTTCAAATCAGCCTTAAAAAAGAAATTTCCATTTAATAAAATAGGCAAAACTTTCCTTTTACACTTATTTTTTAAAACATTATACTTTTTTTTTAAAAAAAATGTGTTTTACTAGTCTTGAAAAAGACCTGGAATGGGTCTTTCAAAAGTTTTTCCCATTTTAAATGGAATCCAACACAGCAGTGAAGATGCAACTCCAAAGAATCTGGGAGAAAAGCAGAATACCCAAAAAACAACTTATGTGTTTCCAAACACCCAGCTTTTGGGGTTGATGCCTTCACAAAACAAGAGGGTTACTGAGCAGTTCCATGAAATTTTTAAGTTTCCTCCTGGTATTCTGATGTCATCATGATCTAGCCTGTCCTAAGGAACTTTTAAAACCACAAAAACCCAGTCTTCTGCCTAGATTTATCTGAACTTCTGTGCTTGACATTTGGATGTCTCTTCTTCTGGAAGTGCCCTCCAGTGAAACTGGAGCTTTTGTCAGAAAAGTTAATATTCTCATGACTTAAATCGACTTCATTACAGTCAAGTTTATTTTACACTCTCAATTACTCACTACTGCAAGTCAACACAGCACAGAAATTAATGCATTTTGTGCCTTAAATAGTAAACACTGCTGTTTGTGAACTTTTTTGGCCAATGAATAAAAAGTATTTCATTTCTAAATCTCACCAGAAGGATTTAAATTAAACAGTAACAGATGCATTGGGCAGGCATGGGATACTAAATAAGAACTGGCAAATGAAATAATCCAGCTCTTTGCTTTGACAATGAAAATGAGAATTGGTTTTTCATTGAGAGAAGAAAAAGGATTAAGTGTTTTAAAAAAGCGTTTTCCACCAAAAGAGCAAAATAGCACTCAGTGGTATAGTATTGTTAACAAAATTTCTTTATCAGAAACTATAATTTAATATTTAAGTACCTAATTTACATGTGACAAGGTATCATATTCAAAAAACTAAATTGCAACTAGAAAACTATTAACCACTAAAAACAATACCAAACACAACCCAAACATTTATAGGAAAGCAATAGCTAGAATTTGAATTGGAAAAAAAAAATCTCATCATATTTGGCTCATTAACAAAGCATCCATTACAGCCTGTAAGCATCTCTTCTAAGTCATCAAGTTTATCCTTTGTAGCATGAATAACACGTAAAGATAGATTTATTGACTGCATATGCACACGTGTGTATACATATTGTGAGACGTACACTCATGTGTTGACTTAAAGATATTGTATCTACTGATAACTGGCTGAACTTTGGAAGGTGCTGAAACCCATATTTCTACATGACCTGTGACCCATTTAAAAATGTCTTTTTATAAACAGAAGTTACATAAAATACTCTGGTTTTATTAACTGACTCTTTTCTTAAGCATCATAAGAGACAATTAAGGAATTGCACTTATTTTAAAGGTACAGTAAAGTGTTAGATTGCAGCTTGGCCATCAAAGATCAGGGACTGTAGTACTGAGAAGTTGTGCATTATATGCAAAGATGACGGTGGCCACTGAAATTAAAATGAGAGCAATTAATTACAGAACAAATAGGGGGATAACAGAAGAAAACATGCACTACTCCTACTTTAATGCAAAACTAATTTCTCCCCGGAAACCAACCCTTTGACTTTTCTTACACAAAGAAACAGGTTCTGCACCCTTGGCAACACAGTAGACATGGACTTCTGTATTCAAATTCTAGTTCATTGTTTCTGAGTGTGCTGTTCCAATGTCATCTCCTTAAGCTGCCCTTGAAATTCTGGAGCATCTACAATATTACAGTCTCTCAGTTAGGTTCCATTGAGCCTCAGTATCCCCTTCAGCTCTATATAAATAGGGTCCTTTATTCATCTTCTTCTGGTTCCTGTGGTAACGCTGGTATTTCTTCCTTTAAACAATCACTGAAGAATCTGAGAATTGTGCTGTAGAGATGATACTTGCTCTTCTCAGATACGTTATGGCCTTCATCTGGGTAGACCTAAGATATTGAATGGAAAGGAGATTTAAAGTTGTCAAGGAAAGGCTTCTCTCTCAGAATTCATTACTTCAGCTCCATGGCAAGGGAATTTTGGAAAACAATATTTAACCAAAATCTCATGGTATTCAATTCTGAGTCTTTCCTGCTAAATGTTTCATTTTTATTTTAATTAGATCAAAATATGACACTTGAGACAAAATACAATTTTATGCCTGTAAATTAGGATTTGTTGGGAATTCCCTGGTGTTCCAGTGGTTAGGATTCTGCCCTTTCACTGCCTGGGGCCTGGAGTTTGATCCCTGGTTGGGGAACTAAGATCCTGCAAGCCAAAAAATAAATAAAGTAAATAAATTAGGATTTGTTGTCCAAAAAGTTAGAGCCTTCTATGTTCACACTGAACAAGATGGCATTAACATCAACTTAGCTACATTTCAGACAGTTTTGTCCTGACTATAGGCCTCTGACCTCCCTTTCGAGTATTTAAGGCAGAAAACTGGCAACTGTAAATTCATTCTCTGCCCCTTTGAAATTTATATAATCTTATTTCAGACTTTTGTCAGTTTTACAATCCAGGAAATATCTTTCTCAAGGACTTGGGAACCATCTCTCTCTTTTTTTTTTCTTTTTTTTACTTTTAGTTAGTTTGGGGGCAGCGGGACTGCACCTTACAGCATGTGGTGACTTAGCTCCCAGATCAGGAATGGAGCCTGCACCCCCTGCATTGGAAGCACTGAGTCTTAGCCACCAGCCCACCAGGGAAGTCCTGGAAACCATCTCTTTGAAATGTAAACACTGAAGGAGAAAGCATCCCCATTGCCCAGTCTCCAAATTGTAAAACCATCTCTTACCATAAAGGTACAAGAAAGTTTACTTTTCCTTTCCTTTCTTTACTTTTACTTACTTTACTTTTCCTTGGCCTGTTACCAAACATCAGGACCAATGAATCCCTCCATGGGGACTCTTAAAAATTCCCCAGCCCTTTGTTTCAAAAAAGTTGAATTTAGTCTTCCTCCCTTATTGCAGTAGTCCCAAGTAAAATTTTCCTTGTTTGTTTAATTTTGCACAATGAAATTTTTACTTTGACAGTGTTCTTTCCAATATAAACAGCATGAATGCGTTTTTTAAAACATAAGTGAAAATATTGTCACATCAGTTAAGTTTTTAGCTAGTGCCTAAAGCCTCACAGTCTACGGTCAGTGCCATGACCCTCTATCTGTTTATTGCTACATCTTCATTTTTCATCATTCTAACCGTAGTGCCTATAGTTTTGATATGCTGAACCACTTTTAGTTCTTCCAAATGCTTAAGAATGAAAGTAAACTTTATTTCCCTTTCATAACTACTCCATCAGACTGATGTGTAAAGTATGTCTTGATGTGTAAAGTATGTCTTCTTGACCCATTTAGTATAGAGACCCATGTAAACTAAGTCCTTGATAAATATTTACTAAATATGGTTGAATGCAGAAATGTAAATGATGTTTTCTCTTTTCCCTTGTCTCTTGTGATATTTACTCAAAACACTTCGCCCCCTACCTTTCATGAAGCGTGATGGAGACTGACAAGAAGACAAAGGGACCAGAAGGGAAATAAAATTTATCATTTTAAAAGAATTTCTTACCAGTGATATGAATAAACGTCTGAGAAACAAGCATTTTTGAAAGATTTTATGCAATTCACACATAAATCAAGATGATCTACATTCTCACTGTAATAAGGAAGTAAAGACAATTTGGTAAAAAAAAAAAAACCACACATAGAACAAATAAAAGGGTGGGAGATGGAATCATACAAAAATTGTGTTCTGTATCTCATGACAAGAAACTAAGGTAGAAAAACACATTCTTCTGAAAAAGTGGCTTACCTGCATAGTATAGTTCACTCCAGCTTTTATTAGGTGTTTGATTAATTCTGCTGAATGCTGGAAATGAACTTTGGCTGCAAGAAATTAAATTATGATATTGAAGGAAATACATTTTTCAGGATTAGAACATTTTTATAACATTTTTTTCAAAGAAATTAAGTATTTTACTTTACATCCAGTGCACATTTAAAAGACTGATACCTAGCTTTACCTGGAAAGCCAGTCGATACAACAGTAATAAAACTTTTGAGCTTCACATTATAAAAAAATACATTAAAGCAGGAGTTACTACTAAGTCTCTACTCACTCTACAGAATGGTGGTTAGATTTACTTTACTGAATGCCATTTATTATTTCTAATTATTCACATATTCTATACCATGATAATAATTTTAACAGTGAATGCCTGCCTGTCTGGATAGTAATACAGCAAACCAGCCTTCCTCGTTTCTAAGGGTTACTAGGGTCAATCTCAGACACTGATATTCTGCTTTATATCAAATTAGGAAGAAAAACACATCTTGAGAAAATAGCATGCACATCTCATTACTCAGGGCTAAATATTTAACGTTGACCATATTGGTTTCTCCTCTTTCCTTCTAACTTGCTGCTCCCTGAACCTCAGCTACAAAACCGAAATGAGCAGCGCAGCAAGCCTGAGTGTGGCAGCGACGCTGACCTGAGCGAGCGATGAAGACGGACAAATCACTCCAACAATTGTGTGTAGCGTTCTGCTCACAGGCTGCCTTGGCTGTACATTCTTAAACTATGCATCTTCAAACTTCTGTAAATAACTTTTAAGCTAACGTTTGTCAATTGTCTTTGTAAAAGTAGGGCAGCCTTACCAATAGTTTAAACTTCTTCATTGCTCTAATGCTATGGTTCTGATTGATCCTGCTACAGAGCAGAAAATAAAAGACTCCAAATAATCATTTTCATCTTTTAAAAGTCTCGTAATCTTTTCCAACATTCTCTTGTTGTACTTAATAGGAAAATTACCATGTCATTTTTAAATAACTGTGCAAATTGCTCTATAAATGTAGGCCACCAGAAATGCTAATAAATAGGGTAGTGACTGAGGTAAAATGATACTTTATATACCTCATTTGTTTATTGTAGAAAACAAATTGATAAAGACTCCATCATTCAGCTTTATGGATAAAGCTGAAAATAAATGTGCAAATGGATTTACCAGTTTTTTTTTTTCCTGTTTAGTTTCTAGTTCAAAGCATGTTGATAATTGCCGTGTATCCCTTCTTAAAACTAAACAGAGGCATTAAAAGTCTAATTGGTTGAGTTTCCTGATTTGATGATGATTTTGGAAGATAAAACTAACAATGGTAGTATTATATTACTATTGACTGACTACCTATACTCTATCAGTCCCATATGGAATATGTGCATGTGTGTGTGTGCAAACACACAGGCGCATTTCCTTTGACGTGATTGGTGTTGAAGGTCTACTTACACCTTATCAGGTCGGTGGAGCATACCACATAGCACTGAGAGTTCCCAGTCTACTCCACAGGCTCTCATCACTTAGTAGCCTTTGAAGCAAATTACTAAGCAGGGGGAAGGGAGGAGGATTAAGCTTTGCCTCCTTGAGGTGGGGCACCTACGGAAATGGTTTGGAAGTCTACCTAAGGGAGATTTGCCCCTTCTCCCTCATTTACCTATTTATTCACATATATACTATATACATAATATAAACATATTGTTATCGGCTTTGATATGAGCTCTAATTTAACTATTTTAACTATGACCTGACATGCTTAAAAGTTAAGTTTTAGGGCCAATGTTATCTTCATTATAAGACCTTGTTAGTAATATTCTCTGAAAAATGGGATAAAAATACTGAGGCAAGGTAGGGTGGACTGACAAAAACAAGTTTAAGATTTAGGAAATATTGCTTCAAGGCTTTGCTTCTCTTTGTTCACTTCCCAGGTAGCCTTGGATAAATCAGTTTCCTCCTTGAAATTGATTTTTCTCATCTGTGAGTGGAGCTATAAATACTCAGCCCTCTGTTGTAAAATTTCACATAAAATAATGAGAAAAAAGATATAATTTCTTTGAGCCACAAACACTTCAGGTGAATATAAAATGATATTATTTATTACTAGTAGTATCAATCACATCCCTCTCCAATGTATAAAATAATAAAAAAAGGAGATGATATAAAAGTGCTTTTTTTGGTTTTTGTTTTAACTTAAATGGGAAATCTCAGCAAAATTTCATCTCAGTGCCGGCACCTTTGGCTACACTGTTGTTTTTCAGTTTAGAGTCCATTTGCGGTATGCTGAACATGGCCCTAGTAGTGACTAACCACACATGGCTATTTATATTTAAGTTAATTACAATTAAATACAATTTAAAAATTCAGTTCCTCAGTCATACTAAACATGTCAAGTGCACATGGCCAGTGGTTACAGTGTTCAGCTGCACAGACATTTCCATCATCACAGTTTTACTGGACCGTGGCTGCCATCAAGCCCCATTGCCTCCTCCACTCTTAGTCCTGATGTCCTTCTGTCCTTCTGCTCACCTCCTACCAGGTATCAGATTGTTTGTGCCACTCTCTTCTGCTCTCCTCCCCAGAAGGTTATAGCACCTCCTGTAAGCATATCCTTGGAGGTGCCCCTTTGTTCAAGGTCAGACTCCATCAGTCAGTAGCAGCCATCAATTGATACTAAGTAGCTACTTACTGTCAGCCGTCCCATGGATTATTAATATATTTTCTTCTTTTAAGCCATGAATATTATGTAGTACACTAGATGCCTATAAATAAAAACACAAAAATCTGTATATAGAGATTAACCTATATTTGTATTCAGAGTTTTTAGAATAAAATTACTATTCTTTATTCATTGTTTTTAAGTTAGTTACCTGGTATGTGCTTTCGTCTTTTGATGGCATACCAAGATATCTTTCAGAGAAAGCTGAGGCTGTGATCCAAGAAAACAGAAATTTAAGGATACACTAAAAACCATTTGACTAGCACATTTCATTATTTAATTTCTATCTTTCGCATTTAATTGCCATGCACCAGTAAAACTGATTGAATCAGAGAGGTGATAAAACTGCTGAAAACATCTCTGATATTACATGGTAAATGACCTCAATTGAGCATCTCTACATGAGGACTTTTGTTTCTGTAAATCAATACATTATTTTAGGTCAGTCTGTAGGAAGTACTCACCATACAACTTCAAGTCTATAATGGGTGCAATCACTGATCCACATTTAAAAAGTTTTTCATCTGATTTTAAGATCATGGATGCAATATAGCCACCATAGCCCTGGTCAAAAAAAAAAAAAAAAAAAAAAGTTTATATATATGTAAGATTTTTGACTATTCCTGGAGATGTTTTAATGTTTTATCTTTTGGTCACTGTTAGTTAATATACATATCAGAATGTCTCATAACACTCCAGATTTGAGCAAAGAATGCACAAAACATTGTTATGTACAGATGAAAACTGTGAAAAGTTATTTAAATTTTTATATAATGTTATTTCAATAAATTTAGGTAAAATATAAAATTTATTTATCATCAAGTCAAATATTTGCTCTCTTTGATCTGATATCTGGGAATAGCTCCAAATAATTTGAAATCAGGGTAACATGTACATGCATGCTAAATTGCTTCAGTCATGCCCGACTCCTTGTGACTATGGACTACAGCCCACCAGGCTCCTCTGTCCTTGGGATTCTCCAGGCAAGAATACTGCAGTGGATTTCCAGGTCCTCCTCCAGTGGATCTTTATAACCCAGGGATTGAAACCCAATCTCTAATGTCTCCTGCATTGGCAGCAGGTTCTTTACCAGTAGTGCCACCTGGGAAGCCCAGGGATTAAATCATATATCATTTTAGACATATATATTTATTAAAACAGCATATTCATTTAATAAAACATTTAAAATTATGATTATTAAGAATTAAGAAAAAAAGAGAAAAAAAGAACTAAGAAAGAAGAATTAAATATTTAACATATATCATCACAAGTATAGATTCTGTTTTCAAGCCACATAACTAAATATTTGAAAGAACTCATATATGATAAATACTTTTGCTAGTTAGATGTGTTAGATTATTTTTAAATTCAATTTTTAAATATCCACCTTGAAATGCTTTTGAACAAATCTAATTATACATTTAAAAATATATAAATCAAGGTGTCTAGTTTTCTTTTGAAGACCATTTTTCTGACTAGAAAAATTCAAGAGGAGATTGTAATAACCTTAGTAATGCTGGGTAAATAGGATGACTTACTAAGTTGTCAGTGCATTTTAGGCATTAATTTTTGCTGTGCTCTTGGTGTTGTGTTTCATTTTGCCAGACACTGGAATATCCTGATAGGTATTAATAATAAAGATATTAATATTCAAGCCTTATTTCAGACATTCTAATGCAAATGGTTCATGATAAGCTTTACTTGTGAAAGATTTGCAGATGATTCTAGTTTTGGTGCTATAGGAAACTATTATTTTCTCTATAACTCGAGATGAAAAATAAATTATGTCATTTATGCTTATCTAAAGCATCATTTAAAAATGGGTATTGGAAAGTCCAAAATGCAGCCAGAGATTACTATAGAGGTTGAGAGAACATATGTGAAGAGTAGCAGAATATACCACCCAGAAGTACGCCACTTGGTATATTGATTATTTTGAGCTGTAAGCACTTGCAAAAACAGCAAATGCAGAGAGAGGCTTTCTCTTTCTCTGAATGTCTTTATCTGCCTAAAGGCAGATCCTCCAAAAGTAAATCAATTGTTCAAGGGCCCGTCCCTGGAAGTTTCATCAATGAGGGAAGATTGATTCTTGTCACAGGAAAGGAGACTAGAAATTGACACCACACCCAGACTCACTGTGTCACAAGCCTTGCTTCCCATCTATTCTTCTAAGGCCCCATGTGTTTCCTAATAGGAACTTGAAAGTGAAAGCATTAGTCACCCAGTCGGGTCCAACTCTTTGCAACCCCAGGGACTGTAACCTGCCAGGCTCCTCTGTCCAGAAGATTTCCTAGGCAAGAATACTAGAGAGGGTTGCCATTTCTTTCGCCAGGGGATTAAATCCTCACCCAGGGATTAAACCTGGGTCTCCTGCAGCCAGGCAGAGTCTTTGCCATCTGAGGCATCAGCGAAGCCCAGAAAGAATTTACTCCCTCTTAACACACTTATATCCCCTCTCCCCGTCCCAGTTGAAGCTGAGCAGGTCTGAGGGGGCTCCTCAGCACAGAAGACTATTTGTCCCCCTTTTCTTATTTGTAGGGAGTAGATAAGATTCCAACATCCATGGCCTTCCCCGAGTTCCAAAGGGCAGGTTCAAACAGTTGCTAATCAGGGAAGGGAGGGGATGCAGAGAAAAGGGAGGAATAGTCAGAAACAATAGTGGAGCATATTAAAAAGCGGAGGTAGCACTTAGCTGACACAGGTCCCTATAGTCCAAGCTGTGGTCTTGCCAATAGTCACGAATGGATGTGAAAGTTGGACAGTAAAAAAGGCTGAGCACCAAAGAACTGATGCTTTCAAACTATGGGGCTGGAGAAGACGCTTGAGAGTCCCTTGGACAGCAGGGAGATCAAACCTGTCAATCCTAAAGGAAATCAACCCTGAATATTCACTGGAAGGACTGATGCTGAAACTGCAGTACTTTGGCTACCTGATGTGAAGCCCCAACTCATTGGAAAAGACCCTGATGCTGGGAAATATTGAAGGTAGAAGGGAAAAGGGACAACAGAGAATGAGATGGTTGGATGGCATCACTAATTCAATGGATATGAGCTTGAGCAAACTCTGGGAAATAGTGAAGGACAGGCGGGTCTGGCGTGCTGCAGTCCATGGAGTGGCATAAAGTCAGATATGTCTTAGGGCCTGAAAAACGACAACAAAATTCCATTCTTGGTAAAGAGAGGGAGACATAAACAGAGATCTTCTTAATAAATGTAAATGTTCCTTGCAAAAGGATAACTTCTACTGTTTTTAAAGCTTCTCCTGTTTATGCTGTTTCTTAAAATAATCAGGTCAAAAAAATGTTTATGCCAAAGAGACATATTCTGGAACAGCATATTCTGCTCCTCTTCAGAAGTATGAAGAAGTGAATGAGTCATGCAAAGCATGTAAATAAATAGCAATTAGACAGCAAAAGTGTTGAGAGACTGAAAAGTCTCTCCCTATAAGGAAATTTTCAAGCATATTTTCTAGTTTCTAATTCCCTATCATGAAGATTGAGACCACGGTGTTGCAGACAAGAGGTTTCAATTATTTCCCAAGCAGCAACAGTATTATCATAGTGAAAAACACATCTTAGCTGACAGCTTTTCTGGTTCTAATTCCACAACTACCATGATTTCTGATTATGATTCTGTTATTTATATAACTTGACTACGTTGCGAGAATAACTGAATATAACTATCCTGAGAATAACTGTATATCATATTTAAATAATATAAATTAGTAGATTGTATTATGTTTTTTATCTCAGTTTCACATGATTCTCAAAGTCTGATTAACTCCAGGAAGTAAGAAAGGTATCTTTCACAGGAGGCACAGATTTCAGAAAAACACCTGAAAGTTCTTTTTGAGTTCTACTTGAGAGTCTTTTTAAATTCATATTCTAAACCAGTAGATTTGGGATAGGGCCCAAGATTTTGCATTTTTAACAAACTCCCAGGTTGCTGGTCCATATATTGAATAGAAAGTTCTTATTGTGTAATAATGTAATAAGGATTCCCACCAGAATATCTTCTAACTTCAGCCAGGATTCCCTAGACTAGTGGAACTTAAAAAATATATATATGTACCAATGCCCTCAAAATCAATTGAATCAATACATGTAGAATGGGCTGTGGAGTTCTCCATGTGATTCTAAGTGAAAGTACTGCTGTAAATCACTGCTGCTGCATAAAACATTGTATTTGACTTCTTTAAAAAAATATCTGGCATTTGGGATCAATGAAAGTAAGTTGAAAACTTAATAATAGTGTAAGTTTTTGAATAAAACTCTCTCTATAGCATTTAAAAATCTAATTCAAAATACTGCTTTAATCTGATTTATTTCAGTTAATAAATTTTATTTTTAAAAGAAAATCAATACTGGCAGGATTAAAATAAATTTTAATTGCTTACATTCTTCTCCATCATTTCATGTTTATTTACTGAATATAAGAACAGATCATAGTAGCTTTATCTTAGTTTATTTATGGAATCTCCATACTGTTCTCCATTGGGGCTGTATTAATTTGCATTCCTACCACACTACCAAATGTAAAATAGCCAGTGGGAGTCCATGGTTCCCTTCCATGCAGGGAACCCAAGGCCAGTGCTCTGTGACAACCTAGAAGGGTGGGATGGGGAGGAGGTGGGAGGAAGTTCAAGAGGGAGGGCACATATGTACACCCAATACAGACTCGAGTATGGAAAAAAAGTCACCATATTGTAAAGTAATCATCCTCTAATTAAAATAATAAAATATATAATAATAATAGTAAAAAGATTAGATCATGAAAAAGTTCTTGGAAAATAATATTCCACAAGATGTTAGGAATCTAAGTTCTAGTTAGCTATGGAATGGTGCTTCAATTTTCAAAGCAACTCATATCTATCAGGAAGATGCCAAAAACCGGGGTTCACCATATTGAATGTAATTAATGAGAGGATGTTTTATTAATGTGATATAGACCAATAATGGTCAATAGTTGGTATAGGCTGCTATGTTTCAGATGCGCTGTCACCTTATTGGTATTCTCAGTGATCAGATTTTTCCTTCATTACAATTGTTACATGATGTGCATTTGCAAAGAATCTTTAGCATTACTTGTAATATTTTAACAAACTAATCTAGATTTTAAAAAGTTTATTCTGTGGATTTAAAGTATAGAAAATTTTATTTCTTTAAAAAATATATTTTACCCATGGTGTAAGAAATTGAATCCAAAAGACAAAAGGACTAGAGGAGCAGGGGAGAGGGGAAATCTATAATACCATTTTACTGAGGACTTACATTTTCATGGGCCTCATGTTTTGAAATAATAAAGTGACTTTTTTGACACTGTGCAAAAAGGTTTCATGGTTGCAATCAAAAATATATAGTAACAGAGCTAAAAAAAATGTTTTCCTACAGCTTTAGGCTTGTATGATTTCCTCTGAATCACATCATTTCTAATATACAGTGAATTGATTTGAAGTAAAAATACTGCAAACACTTTATGAATAATAAATTTATTATATTAATTTGCATGAAAACTGTTAAATTTGTTTAATGTAGTCACATATACTATATTACAATTTTTATATTC